CTCGTCTCTATTCAGCAGCACAAAATGAGCCTCTCTGGTGGCAGGGAGAGAGATGAGTACATTCACCTCCATTCTGCCGTGCTCTGCTCAGCTCTGAGTGTGTGTCTGTGTGTCCATAGTGCTAAAGCTTGTGTGTGTGTGTGCATTTGCTATACATATTTATGAATGTGTCTGTGTACTTGAGTCTATTACTTAATATGTCCTTTTGTACACGTGTGTGCCTGGATTTTTGTGTGAGCCTGCGTGCACGGCTCTACACGTGGGTGCGTACATGCACGTATTGATTGCTGTCACTTCCTTCCCTGCATGTGTGATTTTTATTATGCAGGTCTGTTTGCACACTCACACACTCGTGCACGCGCCCGCATGTGCGCGTTTGTGGGAACAATGATAGGTGATGATGTTCCGTGTGCTGCTCCTCGCTGCCTCCCTCCCCAACAGTGAAGGTAATCTCATTATTCAGCCCACTTCCTGCTGCTGCCACCAGAGACAGGCTGACGAACACTAACCACCTCGACGGCCGGAGCGGAGAGAGGGAGGAAAAAAAGAGAGGGGGATAAAAAAGACGGGTGAAAATTGCTAACAGAAACTCTACAGAAAAATGGAGGGGGATAAAAGGAGAACGAGATGTATGATAAAAAGGAAAAACGCTCATAAAGAGTCACTGAAGCAACAGGAAATATGAAGAGACACAAGACACGGATAGAAAAAAAAAAAACAAGCAAGCGACCGAGAAGAAGATGCAAATGCTTAATTTGTGTGTACGCAGAAGAGGCAGAGGAGATGGAGGAAAACAAGGGAGGGAAAGGAAGAGCAAGGGACTGAGTCTGTGTGTTTAAAGCCATCGGGGACCGGCGGGCTAAATAGAATTACGTGGTGAATTTAGAATGATGCTCCCAAGCGCATATTTAACACTGTCAACAGAGGGAGGGAGAGAGAATGGAAGACCCAGATACACACACACACACACACACACACAGTGAGTGGCACACAGGAGAGAAACTTCATCCTTAAAACCTCTTAATCCAACATGAATGAGAGTTTCCAGCTCAGCAAAGACTGCTGGGAATAGAGAGGGCGGCGGGGGGTCTCAGGTGAGAAAATGCCACGATCACACACTGACATCACAAGCAGGCTAAGCCGTTATCCACATACATGCAAACAGGTATGGGGGGGAAAATGCAAAGTGGTGCTCTCTTCAGGGGAAACTTAATACAGCAAAACAGGAATGCATTAGTGTTTTTATTAAATAAATGGGAGCAAAATGTGCAGGTAAAGCACTCTGAAACTTTAGTCTTAACTTGGTTCTTGTTTTTAAGGCAATGTTATCCCTCTTTGCACCAAAATTAGTATGCAGATTTTTTTAAACATGGGTAAACCCCCTAAAAATATGCTATAGACTCCTGTCCCATTGCCAGTAGGCCAGAGCTGTGTACCCGGCTCTGCTGCTCACGAGTGTGCCTTTCTGTGTGCCTGTTAAAACTTACTATCTATTACTTATTCTTAGTCGTAGTCTCTTAGTTACTTAGTCTCTCTTTCAAACTTGGTTCAGACTCATTTGGATCGATGTTAAAGTGCTGCTTGAGTGGAGACAGGTGGTATTTTGTGGTGGCGCGTCATTGCATCTCACCGCTAAAGGAGCTTAATTTGTGCATTCACCCAGGTGTTGTGTTTCCATCAATGCCACTCGGACCTGGAGCCGATAAATACCTGTGACTACTGCAGAGTCATTTGACCCAGGTGTGAATGCTGATTGTGACCTTTTCCATTACATTTAAAAGCCAGAAGGTAGAAGGTGTTAGCAGGTTTTTTTGTGCAGTTGAAAACGGGCTATAGCTACTATGAAAGAGAGAGAGAGGGTGTGTGTGTGTGTGTGTGTGTGTGTGTGTGTGTGTGTGTTGATTGGTGGTGATGATGGGTTGTAGGGTGCCGGTTCACAGCTCAACCATGAACCAGCATTCTTAAGTGTTAAAAGTGTCTGTCACCTTCACGCCTCAACCGAGCCGTTTCCGCAACAAACACACACGCCAACAAATTTAACTTGGAGGATACACACACATCTTGAGATCTGCTGATTTACCTGAAATCACACATCATTGCTTTTTGCAGAGGTTAAAATCCTGCCATCGTTCAAAAAAAAAAAGTTGAGGTAATTATCATTTCCCCGTAATGACGTACGTAGTTTTCACTAATCTCTCCCTCCCACCTCCTCATCAACACCCCCACCCCTCCAGCAGTAGGGACCCCCTCACCAGATGAGGAGCGAAGGGACTCCCTGACCCCCACCCTTCATCAACAAAACGTGTGGGGGGAGGTGGTTAACAGGGAAAGGGATCCCAAATGCAAACAGACAGAGTCCCCTCTCCTTAAACCAGAGGCCCCCTTGGCCCTCAGTGCCCTGGTAGCCCCTCTTGCCTTGGCCCTGGGTATACACCCTGGCCACCCTTGGCCCACCTCGATCACAGACACACATACACACACCCCCGCCGCAGCTGTCAAAATCCTGATGTCTTAATCAATCCTGGATCCACGACCCTGTCAGGCGCAGCAGCAAGATGGATGCAGAAGGGGATGACCCCTGACCTCTGCCAGGGGTGGAGAATACAATCCCTACGTGCCCCATCAGCCCCCCCCCCCCCCCCCCCCCCCCCCCCCCCCCCCCCCCCCCCCCCCCCCCCCCCCCCCCCCCCCCCCCCCCCCCCCCCCGAACATCGCCAGCCTCAGTCGGCTCCGCTGCTGCCCCAAACAATGATGGAGGAGAGCCCATTCATCCTGGGCTGGGAACCAGGGGCCAAGGTGCCCTTGTAACCCCGCACGCACACAAGACAAGCACAGACGCACAACTATGCGAACACACACACACAATTGGGCTTGTGTGCAGCATAGAAAAGCTTTAAAAAGGAAGGCTTCGAAACAGATCAAGCCGTATAGTGTGAGCGAGGGCTGATTCACTCTCGTACACTTGTTTAAACTTTTTAAAACGCCAAAAAACTGTTAACACACACCTTAAACCACAACTCTGCCTAGATACTCACCCCCCTACCCCGAAAACCAGCTAAAGTCCTTTGATCAACATGGTCATATAGGAGCAGAGCCCCTCTCCTATAGAGCCTGTCACATGGAGGAATATTAACCAGCTCATCAGTGCACTTGAAGAGTGACAGTGGCCAGCACCTTTTAACCCTTCAGTCACTGGATCTGACCCATGCTGACGCCTCAGGCAGCCGTGCAGCGTCAAACCCAATGTGCATTATCCAGTTTCCAATTGCAAGTGAAATGCTGAGAAACTCTTTAAACTATGTAATTGAAGCTAAAAGTGAATGGCGTGGATGCATTGGCACTGTAAACTTAAACAAACCAAAGCAGATGCAGTGATATGTAAACTAAATGGATATATTGGCCTGAAAAGTAATACTGCCAGCTCAGAGGCTGGCAGACGCTACGAGACTGCATTAGTCATCTAAAAGCAAGGTTTCCAAGTCCTTTGTTGCCTTCTTTGGAGAGTCAGAGCCATTTATCTCAACTGGAATTAAAGGGAAGCGATAAGGAGTCAGTTTCAATGTTTGAGGAAAATTAAAACTATACAGTATGAGATCAGGGTTCTCATTCTGGTTGAAACAAGAGAGGTTATTATAGTAAATTGCATAATACAAAGCCAATCTAAGATTACACAGCTCTGTCACTAACTACTTTCTGGTCTCCCCCCAGCTCACTTGTACCCCTTTGCCTCCCCACCCCCAGGCAGCCAACAGCACCCCTAAATCACCAGACCTGTTTGTCACGCAATTAGTCCTCCAAGATAAAGGCTCCCTCGTAAATTAAGAGAGGTGTAGTGGTCCGTCCCCCCTGTTAATCACCCGTGCCCAGCCTCTGACCCCTCACTGCTGTGACTCGCTGCTTTTTGTGTGCGATGGTGGTGGGTGGCGGGTGGGGTACACCAATAAACCATCGTGGCAGAATTGGCATCCCCTCGCCTGGCCAGCTGACAACTGCGAGCCTCGGCTTGGCAAAATGCTGCATGTGTTCCACAAAACAGCTGCTGGATACTACGAGATGCTATCCACAATACACTGCTGCATACCATAAACTACAACCTACTGCGTGCAATGAAACAAGCGAGCTGAATTAGGGCGGCATATATCAAGTGGCATTTCTCCTAAGAGCCTGAGCTGGGAACATCTGAAGGCAAAATTCTGCAAAGTTCTATTGGCATCGTTTAATGGGCAATTCTAGGCAATGTTCTGTATTCAGCAACATGCTGAAGGCTCTATCATGCTCCTGATTTAAAAAAAAATCTGAAAGGAGGCTCTCTGCACTGACCTTAAAACCTCATCAAACAGCCTGGTATAGGATCACGGCAAGCTGAGACTAGAATAATCGTCCACGAAGGGCTATTCCCCCCTTCCAAATAGCACTATTTCAACCCCATCTCACAGCTGTGTATTTTCACTCTTCTCATACCTGCTTGGAATGATAAACTCTTTCTCTCTCCTTCCCTCCCTCTAAAGCTGTCTATCTCTTTTTCCCAGCTTCGGTTTCCATTGGGAATAAGAGAAAGAGCGGGTGGGGGTGAAAGACACAGCGGTGGTGCGAACCAGTTGGAGCTCTACCCTCCTCTCCCGGTGTCACCTATTCTCCAGGGATGCATCCCATTGCACAACACCTCCCAGTGGGTCCGCTAATTACTCCATTTACAATCATCATTGCTTCTATCACCCAACCAGGCACTGGAAAGAAGACTGTAGAGAGAAGGATAGCGAGGAGTAAAAAATATCCAACAGAGTGCGGGGTGGGTGAATCGAGGGAGGGAGGGGAGGGAAGGACAAAGAGAACGAAACATGGGGGATAAAGACAAAGAGGCAGAGCAAGAGGATGGGGGGAAATTAAAGAGTTGGGATACTGTAGGGACTGGCAGGGTTTGAGGGGAGAGAGTGATCTATAAATAGAGAGCGGAAAAATAGTCAGCCCCAAAAAACACAAGACAAATGTCAGTTCTTTACCTTGGCATTCTGCATTGCGCTCCTCGTATCCGGGGTTACACAGGCAATTCCCAATGGGCACCAGCCACTCTCCATCAGCCCCGCAGTACATCTTTGGAACCTCCTTCTCCTCCGAATTATCCACGCATGAGCCACGAACTTCCACAAGTGAGGACGTATCCGCTCCAGTGATGGTATCAGGAAACTGGGCCAAGTTACGCACCGCTAGAGGACATTTCTTGTAGAAGACCCTGACGGACACAAGCGCAATGCACGCTCCAACATCCTGGAAGGCCAAATAGAAGCCCTTGCGGGTCAAGGCGCCCACGTCCCGGACCTCTGTGTTCAGCTTCATGATGCGATCGCCGATGTCCACCTGAGTGAAGCTCTCGTCTGCAGCAATGGTGTCGATCTTGCCAAACTGGTTCTCGCGGATGTAGCGCTCCTTGTCGTTGTTGGACTCGTAGTAGTAAAGATTGAAGGTTTCCTTGCAGGTTCCCATTACCCCCGGGAGGCTGTTGCAGTCCCGCAGGGTGAACTTGATCTCAATGTAGACACGCTGGGCACCGCCTCGGGGGATCCAGTCAGTGCGGAGCCAGTTGTTCTGGTTTGGCTCCATGACGTTACACACCTGGTACGTCCGGATGGGAATGTTCTTTTCATCCATAATACTCACTTCCTCCCACTGGGGAAAAGACACAACAATAAAAATGTTACAGGGATATTCTTAAACCTCTGAGGTTCAATCAGCAGCTTAATTACCTTTGTTGAGTTCCAAACCAGTTTGAGGACATTCAGAACGGTGGGAAAATGCTACAGCAGTGTCACGGCTGAACTGTTAAAGGTTAAGGACATCAGAGAAATATAAAAACTAAACGCTCTCTTAATTAAAATGGACCATGTAAGTATCACACATGACTGGGGGCCAGTCTGTGCAAAGAATGAGAGATACTGTGCAAAAGAGCATGCGGGGAAGATTAGTCAATATTTGAGTCTCTGCAGAGCAATTAATTGATGGCTAAACTTAATGCATATTTTATGAATGGCACCTAATAGACTTGTTAGGTCCTAATATAGAATCACAAAGATATTAATATTCATGGCTTCCCCTCAACTGCGAGAAAGGAAATTTGCAATTAGTTCTATGCTTCTGTAATGCCTACACTTCAATTACTTGGGGAGTGGTATACAAAATCACACACACACATACTGAGAGACCAGTATGTCTTGAGGTATCAGAGAAGAAAGGAGAGAATAAAAACACCGGATCATGTGGATGCAAAAACTCAAGTTCTGGAATCAATGCTAATGATCTAATGTGCGCCTGCTTTACATCAACATACATGATGGGGAGTGGGAGACAGGCACACATGTTCGCTGCTGCTGTTAGTATGAACTCATGGGAGAGAGAGAGAGAGAAAAAGGAAGACGCTGACGTGGGGTGCATGGATTACGTTATCCGAGCTTATTTTTGCCAGGAGGGAATGTTTGTTTTACATATGATAAAGTTCCCCTCTCAACAGATCACCGCGGAGCAAATACAAGCATGTCTTTAGAGGCTCAAAGCGGTGTGTTCCCTTAAGTTTCCTCGCCGTGTGTTTTAAATAGAGTCTTTGACTGAGCTGGGCTGTAAACAAGAGCAGACAGGCCTTTGGCTGCCGTAGCTTCAACCATTTAGAAAACTGTATTAAAAAAAAGTCATAATGGAACAGTGGAAGATACGGGTTATACTGCCAGATTTGATTTGACGCCTTATCATAAACAATCTGGTTTAAAGCTTTATTTCCCCGGAGGAGGGTGGGATAATGCTAAACATAGCTGCGGCTGCATGATTCGAGAAAATGTCTATCATTCCCCGCTGTTCCATTCCACTCTGCTCTCTTCCTTTAGCCCCCCTTTTGTTGTGGAAATCAAGCGGCGCTGAGATAAGGCCGCACCTTTCCCCGATAGCGGGGAAGAGGGAGAATAAGGCCAATTGGTCGTAATGAGAGGGTGAATGCAGGCTTGCCGGGGCTGCCGGGACCCTGTCAATCACTTGTTTGTGATAAAATGGCCGAGGGGAGGACCTGAGCACGGCGCCGGCCAAGTTCATTGAGCAGAGCTTGCGATCAGAGCCTGGAACAGCTGCACAAGGTGAAATTCTCCTCCCTTGGGTGCCTATTCATTAGTTGACACGACTGTTGCTAATTTGTATTAATTTTCATGAAACATTAAAAGGGTCGCTTGTGCTCATCATCACATTTCTGTGAGTAGAACAAATGAAGGGGTTAATGCTGACTGGCAAACACTGTAATTTGTTTATCATCAACAATTATTCATGTAGCTCAACACTGACTTTCAAATGCATTTTAGGCCGTGATCAAATTGAGACTTGGTTAAGGCATGGCATGTGCCTTACCTTCCCTTAACCACCAATGCCCGTGGCCACTGTGGGGCCCCTATTCTTCCTCTTATCAGGGCCACTGTAGATATCCCAATTAGACTGAGGGATCGTGCATTTGGTCGACCCTATTCCCCGCTGCTTTACAGCGAGATCCAGTCATCCTGCGGCAAGAGCTAAACCCCTCTGCACTTTCCCCCTTATTCATCCATTCCAGAGGACCCTCTCTCAGCTGCCAAGTTCCTCTCTCTCTCCCACTCTTCGACTCAATGGTGGAAAGGGATATAAAGTTTCTCCACAAAGACCGATTCAATCCACCGTCTATTCAGGAAACCTGACGCCCGCTGCAGTATCGGTCCCTGCATCTGACCATTACAGAGTGGTTAGAGAGAAGGGAAGCGAGGAGAAAGGGGAGCAGGGGTTGGGGGGTTGAGGGGGGTGCCTATAGACTGGTGGTTCTCAAAGTGGATTCCGGGGACCCCATGGGGCCCTGGAGGGTGTTCCACAGGGCCTCTATCCACAACAAAATTCTAATTTACCCATATTTTCGTGTAGGATACTGGAAATTACGCCTTGATCTCACCCTGCGCCCAATGCTCCTACAGTGCAGACAGCTGCACAATAAATCATCAACAATGATGCCATAAAGGGCTCACCAGGACTAAATCTTATCAAAGAGGGCTGTGTATCTGTTTGGCGGTACACTCCGGAGCTCTTGCCAATAATGGATATTATCTCTCCATTTTTTGCTCAATAGGGGACCATGCGTCCTAACAAGGGGACACTTCTTTGCACTACTTACCCCTCCTTCTGTCGGGTTGGCGACCCATCCCAGCTCCCCCTGTACAGATCTGGAGTCCAATAACGTGACTGGAAAACAAGAATGGGAGAAGTGAGCACGCAGCCTCAGCCCGTCCATACAACATCAGCATTGGCATGTATAATCCACTTAGGTCTGACACGCCGAGAAGGGAAAATGGGTTCCTGTTTTTCCCACAAACAAAAGCTAAATGAATGGGCTTTACTGTTAAAGCCATTTATGGAGGAGGAAAACGCTCTCATGATGAATGTCAGAGCACTCAGAGAATAAAAACTGTAGGCCAACGAGTCCTGTAAATGTTTTGCTATGTGCAATTCCCTGCTGCGCCTGACGCATGTCGTTGTGATTGATTTTCGTTAACATAGAGAATTTCTGCGAATGACAAATCTATTTCCCCAATGCCTTTAAAGTAGTAATACTTCATTTTCCTCAGCGTCGGCCCGAAGCATGTCTGATGTGATCGGAATCAATTAGGGAGCCGTGTGCATAAACTTGGAAGAAAAAACGCATTTAAAATGTCTCCGACACACAGACACACTGTTTTACACAATATTTAATCGAGGAAAAGGTGAAACATTATGTCTGTTAAAGAAATATGTTCGATTAAATTAAATTGCTTTGATTATTTTATTTATTTTTAGGGGTTTGAATTCGGTATGAGTAAAATGCCCAATCGGCTGCTCAGCATAAATTAATTACAAAGCCTGTTATGTAAGTCCACAGTATAAATTATTAGGCACAATACAGACTGAACCATTTTAAAATTTGGATCATTTTTTACATATTCAACTTCACACAGCCCGGGGTGCGTCTTTGTGGACTTGTTGTGTCGTACAGCTTTGCAGAACAGACACAGAGACATGATTCTGCAGGGGACAGACTCAGTGTATCCGATGGGATTGTTTGAAATATAATAAAGTACTTTATTTATTTGTGTTTGCACTGGAAAGTAGGCTTTAACCTGTACTGGGCCTAACATTTTGAAACTGGATACGCTGCGCCCCGGGACCCGAGCTGGCAACTCCAGTCCCGAAACCTCCCGAGCTCTCGTTTTGTGCAGAACACGCCGTGCTCGATTTAAACATCTCGCAATTTACTGTGTCTGTAAACCTAAACCTTGCAGCGCACAGAACCGATGGCATGTTATATATCACTGGGGGCTTTTCTTTAATTCTGCGTGCATTTATTACACCGAGCTGCACAATTTAACTTTCGCAAATGGCTTATATGTCATCTCCATAATCACCGTCTACCAAAACCCCGCTGTGACAGCAGGAGCGATCACTGTGAGCAATTCTGAAATTGATAAATAAAGAGCTGCTTGTGCCGATCTGCGAGTCTCCCACTGACTCGTCTGTGCACTTCATTTCGGTTCTACAAGACGTCCGTCTACAAGATGCTGCGCAACATTTAACTTCTTTTTTAGGGAAAGAGTGTCTTGACCTTCTCTCTAACAGAGAAACCAGCACGTATCGGAGCTGGAAGTATCCCTGCTCGGAGGCTCTACGGCAGCAAGCACGATCCCCAGCCCGAGCCGACACCAAAACAGCCGATGCGCATTTGGACAGCTACTTCTCATTCCACTTGCGTTCTCGTAAAACCCCGCAAAAGTCGCTGCGTAAAGGTGACCGTCGGTGTTTTCCACCGTTAAACTCATCGCGGCTCCACGCACTCGCAACTAGGGGCCACGGAGTGAGGCTCCGCGGCGCAAACACGCAGAGACAAGGAGCGGGGATGAAGTCACAAGTCCGCGGCATTTATTTTTTTCTCCCCAACAACCTTACCTTCATTTGGGGGGTATATCCGTGCCGGCGAAACAAATGTAGAAATCCCAAAAACAAGAAAGGTGGCCGTGAACAAAATCCCTGCCATGAGTGCCATTTGTGTCGTTGTTCCGTTTCTCTCTCCTCTTTTTCTTTCGTTGCTCTTCTCCCAGGTCCTGCTCTCTCTCACTCCCTCTCTCTCCCCCTTTCTCTCTTTCCCAGTGGAATATGGGTTTGAAGCGGACAGTGGGAGAGAGACGCAACGAGCGCACCACAGCCAGGAGGCGGGTCTACTCCGTGCGCTCTGACGCGGACCCCGTCAATCCATATAGGAAACGTGGTGGACGGGAGGGGGGAGAATAATCATTAACTAGCCCCCCTGCACCCCCCCCCAAACAACTCACTCTCCCATTTACCAGTGGACACTCTAGTTAGGGACACGAGGAGATGGTGCCATGGTGAGGTGGCGCTTCTCCTCATGCAGGTAAACGCGATGTAAAACTCCTGGAGACTGCGAGTCACCGATTGACATTACACGAATAAACTACGGGGTGAAATGCCCTTTTGGTCAACAGGGGAAACAAATGGGAAGTGTGCATGTGTGTGCGCGCGCTGTCTAGATTTCAAGTAGTTTGTTAAGGGGCTGAAGTCTGCCTCAACCGCTGCTTCCTCAACTCTAAATGCAAAATAGAAACTGCTTCTCAACTATATATTAACTTGAGTCAAATGCAATGCGTCAGTGTGTGTCCTCTGTGTTCCTCAGCGAGCACACTGTGCTGCTGATCCTGCATGTAGTCTGGCTCCAGTCAAGCGCAGCGCTGTCCAAGGTGAGCCGCACCAGACCAAGGTCGCCACCTAGCGGAGATACTCACGCCTGTTCTGCCTCCGAAATTGGATTAAAGAACAAGCATGAGCATGACCTCCCTAACATTACATGGTATTGCACTTTGTGAAATTGACAATGCCTGTTTTGTGATCGGTGGCGAGCTTGTATTGGATTATTGTCACTTGCTATTATTCTAATATTATCAAGGCTTTATGGGTATTTATGATGAAATGTGCACAGAGATTCATCCATCACTACAGGGTACAGAGCAGACCTGGTGTTGTGGAGCTGCAGAGGTGAGTTTTGTGCAGGAATTGATGTTACTTCTGCTGTTCTTTCTTCAAACAAAGGCTGCATTGTCCGCGTTTGAGAAAGGCCAGCTGTGCCCAGGTTTGGGGTTTTGCCCAGGGTGCTCTCACTCTTTTATGTCCTCCTACACAGGTCCTCTATTGCTCCCATGAGATGTGCCCGTAGCACCGGCAAGCAGGCAACCTTTCAATGATCTGCAGGGGAGATTGTCACTGTGTGGGCAGGTTAGGGCGTTCTGCATCACCACACACTGCGACCAGTGACCACAGAGCTCTCCACAACCACAAGCAGCACCTTTATAATATTATGTCTTCTTTAGAGTCCTTAGAAGTCACAACAGAACTCAATCGTGATTATTTCTGATATGTGAAATCTATAATTAGTATTAAATGAAGCAGCTGCTATTTGAATTTAGACGGCTTCATTACTCAAATTCCTGTTTGTGATGGTGAGGCAGTGCAGGCTATAAGAAGTTTTCCTCACACTCAGCAGGTGCCTGAATGCCCCTCTTCCCCTCATCTCATCACAGAGCCATAAGACACACATGAATGTGTCTTTGTGTGAAAATATTGTCTGTAGCCTCTAGCATTCACGTTTGGCAGATTCCAAGCACTCCAGTTCCCATGCCTTTTTGTAGCTGTCACACCAACCTCAGGCTTCCAAGACTTGGCTACGATAAATTTATTTCTGCCCATACAAGGAAACATCTAGTAGTTTTCTCATCGGGGTGATCTCACTGTGAATAGACCTGCCATTGTCTCAAATGCTTCTACAGACATAGTGTGGCTTTGTTTTTTCCCTCGCAGATGCCGCTCAAAGAACGAGGGAGTACAGTGGGAGAGTTTTCTTTATGTATAACTGGTCTGAGAGGGCAGCTATGGAGTCCTGATCTTGGATTGCTCACGGAAATGATGTTAGCTCCAGAAGAATGAGGCTGATTTAGAAATAGGAGAGGTGTGTGTGGGTTTATGAGTGTCTCCTGGGACGGGATATTGTGCCTTTGTGGGGTTATGGTCCGTCCGGTGGACGTATCTTTACCAGCGTAATGAAGCAGACAAAGCACCTGGTGCTCTACAGAAATTGTCCAATTTACCCCCAAACATTGATTGTGCAAAACGACATCTCCTGATGAAGGCCGCTTTCCTTCGCTTTCTCCCCTGACGACGAGCCTGGCAACCTTAAAAAGCCAGAGGGGCACCTGGAGGGCCGCTTTTGATCTTTTCAGCCAATGGCAAAAAAAAAGTTTTGCAGACCGACAATGGCGGACGACGATGGTGGTCAGGACAGGGTGGGAGTGGGCGGATTGTGTCTCTTGTCTTTCTTTATTTGTGTCACAGTGTTTTTGATTGATTACACTCCCATCGTTTCCTTTATCTTCCTGTCAAACCATCGGCTTTTTTGTTTTTTTAGAGGTGGGGAAAGTGGCGTAGCAACCCCTCCCTCTCCCCATCCCCTTCCTCTAGCAGCCCACTCCGCTTTCTCCAGATGGCATCTGCTGCCCACACATCTGCATTGTGTGCCAATCAAGCACACCGACTCTAAATCCTTTGCTTAACACACACACACACACACACACACACGCACAAGCTCACTGAAATAAACACACACAAACTTGTGTTATAGCCTGATGTGCTGATATTTGGGACTCCTATCGCCTTTGATATAAACTGGATATGAATCTGTTGTGTCCCGCTCTGACACAGTGAACGTTCTAACTTTTTCACTCAGGGTGTCAGTCTGTGAAATCGTGTCTGAGGCTGTTATTAATCGGCACTTTAGCATTTTTTTTTTTTCTAATTTTACAAACATTGTTATAGCTGGAGGAAAATGAGAGGCTGTCTCTTACAGCAGCCTGACAAACACCCGCTGCTATTAGTCATAGCTGCACTGAATAGATCAGTTCTTTTGATCAGATAGTTTTATTGTTATTTTTGTTAACGGACATTGACTGGTCTGAACGTGCTAGTATTTGTGTTTTTCTAATGTGCACTGTCATTAGTATCCATTTGATATAGCAACAAAGAATTTGCTCCCAGAGCCAGAGTAGTCAGACACAATTTCATGCAAGATAAGTGGAAAAAAACGCGAGAAGCAGGAATAAGTGCCATATTTACAGTTAACAACAGTTTCTAAGCATAAACACTGACACTTAGGAGAATCACACCAAGAGGATGAATTCAAGAATAGGAAATACATTATTGGAAAATAAGATTTGCCAAATTAAGACATATTGTTGCTATGACTTCTTGTTGATTACGGAGTAGTCATGCGTAACAAAGAACACCATGTCTTTGAAAGTCTGTCCGTCCTGGAAGAGGGATCCCTCCTCAGTTGCTCTCCCTGAGGTTTCAACCATTTTTTTGTCCCTGTTAATGTTTTTTTGGGGAGTTTTTCCTTATCCGCTGCGAAGGTCCAAAGGACAGAGGGATGTCGTACGCTGTAAAGCTCTGTGAGGCAAATATTTATTGTGATATTGGGCTTTATAAATAAAATTGAATTGAATTGATTCATTTACAAAACGGCACTTAATGCTAAACTACAGTCTCATATTAATATACGATGATCGGTTTATCACTCCTCAGACATTATTCAGCACTGCAACAGAGAAGAAACTGGCTGATTTTGCTGATTTTCTGATTATCACTAGCCAGAATCCAGTTGTAACGTAATCACAGACCAGTTTGTTCTCCTCTTGTCTTTGTTTTGCACATAAACCTCAACCTGATCAAACTTTGTCTTTGTTTCTCTCTGTCCATATTGTAACTTTAAAGAATAGGGCCTCATTTTTTTATAGTCTGACAACGGCCGTGCATGTAATTATTAATTTTAATTTTCTTCTTTATAACTTGATTAAGCCTATTTAGGATTTTTTGATGTAGGTGCTATTGAAGCTTCACATCCACATGGAGACTGATTGCAAGTATATACGTTGTGAACTGTTAACTGTTGATCACCCTGGGTGGGTTGGATGGTTAACCACACCTGTCATCCTAGAGCCTATATACACCTGACGAAGACTCAACTGGAATTGAAATGTCTATTCAAATAAATAATATCGTGGTTTGGATTCAGTGTGCAGGCGTTATTGTTTTTATGCATGCTAAGTTCCAATAGCCTTGCATCTACATGTAATACAGTATGTCCATAGCTACGCTCTTTCTAATAACGTAATAACATGCATCATCGTGCTGATGAGTTAAGCATCGGTGATGAGAGACACATAGAGCTACTGTACTCTAGTTAGATCGTGTTAAAAGTAACTGTGCCAAAGATATAATGTTTAATCCAGTGTCTGCACCAGAGGTGTGAGGTCATATGGCGTCCTCACAAACTTTGATACATGTATAGCAGAAAATGGGAGCCAATCAGGGCCAAGATTTGTGACTTGTGTTTGCTATAGGCGGCGATAGTGACTCGAAGCTAAAAGACAAAAGTTGTCAACTGAACATCGGCACAATGATCAGCTCCCAGCCTTCAAATCAGACAGCTCCTACAACCGAACTCAATCTGTCACATCTCTTCAGGAATCACACCACACATTTATTGTAGACAATGCAAAACCCTCCAACACCCCCTCCCCTTCTCATCATCTCCCACCTCCCTTACTACAGTTTGGGCTATTGTTTCAGCTAAAGTCCCTAAAGCCCCTCCTGCTGGCCTGTGACCCCCCTCAGGCTACACGCCCTGCCCACCACCTCCGGAGCAGCTTCACACAGTGCTCCTCGGGCCCGCAGTGAGGACAGTCCCTGGAGGTCAGAGCGAGTGGGAGTCAGAGGAGACCGGAGCAGAAAGGGAAGAGGAGATCAAAGGAGCAGCAGGAGAGAATCTCTGAACCAGAATGTCAGAGATGAGATGAAATCCACTGGACTGGAAATATTGCTCACACAAACACACAGATGCACTCGTGCACACCAGCAGTATACACTTGTTTTGTGTTTTGCAACATGATGGGACTTGTTTTTATCTTCCGTCTGTGATCTTCCAAATCTCCTGAGGACGTTTTGCAGTCTCATGAATCTCTCGTTAATTCTGCCAACTAATTTTATATCCATAAATGACAACGCGAACTGCTGATGATCCATTTCAGACTTGTAAATCTGTCATCAGTGTTACTGTATTATCTCAGAATTATCTATTAATTGCAGGTCTTTCT